ATTTTGTCATTTGATCTCTGTCAAATTATTAATATGTCATTATTTTTTCTTTCTCTCTTAACAGGGGCAAATTTGGATCAATGGCTTTAATCTTGGTCGCTACTGGCCGGCCCGTGGTCCTCAGTTGACCCTTTTTGTTCCAAGGAATATACTTGTTTCATCGGTGCCAAACAACATAACAGTGTTGGAGCTGGAGCGTTCTCCTTGCAGCATCCAGGCATGCGAGATAGAATTTGTAGACAAACCTAATATCAATGCAACTGCACAGTATGAAAATGATGCCCCCCAACTCTTTGTTAGAGACATACAGCTGAACTATCTATAATGATCTGAATATTTCCTTATCTTCCCCCACTTTGCTTCCCTTTCCCTCAAACCATACTTCCGTTTTTTAAAGACTCGGTGTGAATTAGTAAGTTGTTTAGCTGAGGCAACTTTTTAAATTCTTCAAACGCCTTCTTTTTTATTATTTTTTATTTTTAAATCTGCCAGTGTTAAATATTGAAATTCTCCTAAAAAAGTAAAAGCTGTAGCTTTAGAATTTGCCTCGGACTGTTAAATTGAACTCAACTGGAAGATAACGTTCACATCAGTCTAGTAAAACTGTAGTCCTTGTAGGCTGCTTACGTTACAGGAACCCTCTTATGCTTTTCTTTTTTTACCATGTTTTGCAACTGCAGAGGAGCCTACAAAAGGGGTGCAGAGTCCCGCTAGCTTGCTGTTTACTCATGTGGACTGCTAGGTCAGAGCTGCCAATAGACTAGACACTTTCAGCTGATTTTTATCATCTGGTTAGGATCAATAGTCTGAAGGGGCTCACTGCTAACGTTGAGCATGACCTCATTTTTTTTCACCTCCGTGCAAGTGACCTTGGAAGAATTTTAGTTGGTTTCTCACGGGAGCAGTGAGAAGAACTGTGGAAGAGAGCAGTCAAATGCAAGCTGGTCCAAACAGCAGTAACGTGGAGGGACCTTGTAGTCTGCATCTGTCCCCTTTTGGAAAACCAATTTACTGCTTCCCTTCTGCTATCTCTGAAGACTTTAAGTAAATCGATAAGTACGAGGACATACGTAAAATTTAGGCTGTTTTGGTTGGACCATAGCCTCTGATTAACCTGCCTGCAGAATGTAGTCTTAAAATGAGCCATTTTTCCTTGTAATGGATCCTTTTTCTTTCTTTCCCCCCCGCCCCTCCCACCTCTAATGGGCCTGGAGTACCTGTTTTTCATAGGCCAGCACCTTGGAAGTGGAAGGCTTTAAGTTAAAGAATTTTAATTCTCTTTTAGTCATTAATTCACATCTGTTTTGTTCCAGTAAACTGATGATCTTTGTAAGTGCCTGATATTTGCAAAGATGCGGAATCTCTGTCAGTAAAGCTGACTTTCTACAACAGACTGAATCTTCTTTTTGATTCTTATGGGTTTGATGTCAATCATGCAAACTCCTTGGTGAGATTTAAACAACAAAAGATTAAGAATCAGGTATTTTCATAATCTGTGGTTTCTTCCTTTGATTTTTGTCTGACAATATTAAAATGGTTCTCTCAAGATGAAATCCTTCCTGTGTTTGTTTGGGAAGGAAAAAGGGGATGAGGAGGAGTTATGAGCAATTATAGTATTAAGGGAGAAATGAGGTTGCAAAGTCTGTATGAACAAGGAGCTCTTCTTGTTGATGTCTTACTTGTTTTCTATGTTATGAAGATGTGTGCAAAGTAAAGCAAAACAAAATCGTTGTAATGGGCTGTGTGGACCCCGGAGGTGCTACCCTTTTCGGGTGCCGATGCAAAAACTTATTTCTCCTCAGCTGATGAGGACTATTACTGTCACCTAAGGAGAGAGTGAAAGGGAGCACCACTCCGTTGAGTATTTACATCTCTGCTATGTGTTTGACATGTGCTTGATGGGCTTTCAAACCAGACACATGCGGTTCACCTGAGCCAGAGAGCTTCTACTCTTGAATTCTCACCTCAAATGCCAACTCTAATGGCTGGGGGCTGTGTGTTCGGTACCTGACACACTTAATTCTTGGAATAAAGTTGTCTGCCCTGACCCCAGATGTGTTTTTTTCTTGGCAAAATCCCTATGCAGACCCCAGAACATGCTCTGCAAGCAGTTTATTATGAAGTATTAATTACCTCAGAGCCAGGCCTTGAAAGTAAGGAATGGAACAGAATTAGTTTCATACCGGTTGTGGGTTTTGTGGCTTGAAGTGTGCAGAATGACAGTACTATTTAGGTATTATTCCTAACAACAGTTCAGTGCTTTAACAGCCAGGAGTATTTTTATTTTTCTGGCAGTTAGTGCTGTGAGGGGGAGTGGAACTCCGGGCTCTCATTCTAACTTAATTTCATTTTACATTGTACTTGTGAAAACGTAGTGTAATCCATGAGACTTCACTTTTGCCATAATTCTCTGTAATATTACAAGCAGAAAGGCTTTGCATAAAGGATTAGAAACATGCATCTGGTTAGATGTAAGACTAACAAGAACAACATGGAAAAAATGGGCATAAAGTTTTTCAGGTAGGGCTCTAGATAGCTTCATTAACACACCTGCCTATTTACTGCCTTTCAGTGAAGTGATCGCTTGTCTACAGAAAGGAACTGAAAGTTGGGGCCCTGATTCCTAATCCTGGTCTACCTACATGAAAACACTGCTAGAGGTTGCCAGGCAGTGCGGTATTTATTTGAGCATGCAAAAGGGAGGTCTCTGTGACAAGGGGCCTTCAGAGTACAGCACTACCAAGAAGAACCTGTTGCCACTTGCTGCTGCTTTACCCAAGGATGTGTCTGTAGGTGCTGCAGGAGGGTGTTCTGCCCTGCCCACATCTCATTCTGGGTTGCTGTGCCCACACCACTGCTGCTACTACATGGCTGGGGCTTATCCTAGGTTTCCTAGCCTTGGCATGCAGTCCTTCTGGACTGAGTGTGTGATATAAAATGGGACAGCTTGGCATTTGCTCCTTTGCAGTTTCGAGCAGGTTGGTTATTTTAACCTATTCTCAAATGTGGTTCTGTCGTCCGTGTCCAGGGGTGGAAATGAAATCAGAATGAAACCTTCTGACTGAAGGCCAAACGCACAGGAGAAGGGGGTGTGGGGAGTTAGCTGGTTCACCTTGAGCAAGTTTCAATTTGGTTTTGAAGGGCATGATGTGAAAACATTGTCAGACCCCTGGTTAGTATCCGCAGTGCAGCTGTGTGATCTGTTCCAGATGCTGAAGCTCAATGGGATGGTCTGTCTGGCAGAGCCAGCTGCCTCCTGAAGGCATGGCAAGAAGGAATGTTCCTAATGCTAAAATTGTGGCTCCTCAAATGCTCCCTCCTGCCTGTTCTTGGGAATTTGCAAGTGCTTTTCTGGCACAGCAGCTGAATAATGGGCATAGTATTCCCTGCTTTCAGCAGACCAGTGCAAACCTGGTATTTAGTCAGAATCAGTCTGTGAGGAGAAGTGGAGATTCTACACTGATCCTGTCTGGAAGGTAGGTGTGATCTTTGCAGTTCTGCAGGGGAGTGCCATTTGAAATCTGCCTCTGGAGTGTAGCTGTAGGGGCTCAGCTTAGCACAGATATTTTTTCCAAACGCCCTGGAGTGGGGTTTGTAAGCTTAGACTGTAATCCTGCCTACGCATGAATGAAGGCCTTTTAAATGTGATTACCTGGGATGAATGAGCAAGTAGGTGAACACGAACTGGTGAATAGTGTGCAGTATATAGTTGAATTCTTTTTCTTAACCTGTGTACGAGACTACTCTTTATATAATTCTCTTCTTAAGTGTTGACCAGAGTTTCACAGTTCCTGAATCACTTGAGACTTGACCTTGTCCAAACCCCTTTAGACTCTCCGTGCCCTTTGTAATTCTCCTGTGCAGGCAGCTCTCCCTGCTCTCCCATCTCTTTGGGGGCTCCACAGTTCCTGTGGTTTTCTTTTGCAGTTTTTTTGATTAAATACTCATTTGTTTGCACAGTTTGAATGTTTACATGGGTCTCACTCTAGAAATAATCCTCTTGACTGGACGGCAAACACTATCCACCTGACAAATGTGTCAGGCATTCAGAAATGGCAATTACAGAAGAATGCTGTGTTTAAGAGTGTGGTCTGAAGGAGGTGATACTGAATTATCCAGGCTGAGAGGGCGACCTGTTAACAAAACACTAAGTTTGGACTGCAAAGGGAAGAAATCTACTCTTTTTGGATGGATTTGGTCGCTTTGATATAATTGCATGACTGACTAGACTATTGCAGTCCTCTTGTATTCTCATTTCAGACATATTGAAATCACTGGGAACAGCAGCATCTCCATACGTGTAAAGTAGATATTCTGACAGTTTTCCTAGGATGCTCTTCCTGGAAATCCATCCATATTGAGCAAATAGCTTGCAGTGCTGTCAGATCCTAACCCGAGCCTCTGACAGCAGCTTGGTTATTTACTGGGCATTCTACCAGACGGAAACTACTTGAGTGTTTTTCTGTTACATGGCTTTGCAATCACTCATTACCTTCCTTTTTTTTGCTTGCAAATGTTCTAGCATAACTTCCCAAAGGAACCGCTTATTGATGTCCCCACATTTTCATTTTAATCTCCTCTTGAGTGTATCTTTTCCAGACTGCAAACACCATTTTAACAGATAATACAAGATGAAAGGTTTGTGAGAGATGATCTAGCCCTATGCCTCTCTACCCTAAGCCAATGTCATCTGTATCTAAAGTATTCCCAGTGTATTTGTTTAACCTGTTCTTCAAAGTTTCCTGTGATGGAGACCCCAGACTTCCCTAGGCAAACTATTCTAGTGTTTACTGATAGGAAACTTGTCAACAGCTAACTGAAGTCTTTGTTGCTGTATGTAAGCCAGTTATCAATTTCACTGTCCACAGCCGACATGAAGTATGTCTTTGTGCTCTGAAACTGTTTTGTGCCCTCTCTGTTATCTTCTTACCTCCCTGATGGACTGAATTTACAGAAATTTTAAGAGGTGCAGAGCAACACAGAGAAGACTCAGCAAGGATGTGAAATGGTGACGAGGTCCTGAATGACCTGGTCCAGGTGCTGCAGCAGTTTTTTTTTTGAAAGAAATGACTGAGTTGCAAGAAAGCTGTCCTGCAGGCCAGGACTTAAAAGCGTGGTAGCCAGCCTCAAGGTCCTGGATGGAAGATTGCGTGACAAAGGGAACTGGAAGCTACAGAAGAATGAGGTCTGCTTTAATGGTTCTCCTTCAACGAGAAGGCAAAACTGGGCAGGAAGAGATATCTTGACACTTAATGCAAAGGGCTGAATGGGAAAATGTTGGAAAAGATGTCACGGAGATTTTTGTCATGCTTTTGCTGAATAAAGTATGTGTGGTTTAAAATCCCTTTTCAGA